GAGGGGCGTAAGGTTTGAGAGGGAAGGGTACTCCGGAAAGAGCAAGCTGACAACAAGTGATACTGAGGTTTAATTTTAAAAACTTTAGTGCACAAAACTGGGTTCTTATATACACTAAACTAAATGAAGCACATCACTGCCAAATAGTAGACCAAAAGAACAGTGGAACAACAAGATAAACGTGTGATGTCTGAGGGTATTGATTAAAACTGAATAGAACGGTGGTAAAAGAATACAAAAGGGTCACATGCATGAGACGCAGACCGGGGTGCATTATTGTTACAGTTAAGACAGAAATTATAGAGGACGCTTTTTAAGGTAATATATGTGAACGGATAAAATGAATATGGTCGCTGCTTGTGGATGAAAGAGTAATATGAAAGCTACGGCGTATAGTATGGTTATGTAGGCCAACATCTCTGGTAGTCGGTCGAGTGTAGTTGACACAGTGAAAATTAATGGACTATTGCAATAATAATATCTCTATGTCAGACACTGTTTACGTACAGGATATCTTTGAACTTATAAAAAGCAGCGTTGAATCTGGTATAATACAATTGCTATATATGATACTAATGAAGAATATAAACGTTTAAAAATGCTCAGACAATTATGTATTGTTTTAATGTTGATTTTTCACAAACATTTTGTTCATATCATACAATATATTAGATTTATATAGCAAGTATATATTATTAACATTAATTTACCAAAAATGACGATATTATACACTGAGTAGATGGCGTACAAGGCTGTCTACCCTATTAACAATTTATATAGCTCATTTAAAATGATCAAAATCAGATGGAAGTAAAAAATAGTTTTCACAGATTTACAGACGGTCATACAAAATCCTTAAATTTTACCAACCATGCAGAAGAATACAGCAAATACGCTCACTGTCTGCACTGGCAGTGATTTTTTTTTTCATAACAATTTTCAATCTTAAAATTGTAAGTTAACTGTTAACTGTGTCCGAAGTACTCGTAATTTGTCTCCTAGAATTTCTAATTCTTATATCCTTCAGAATCAGTAATTACTATAGGGGCATACAATTGCTACTAACAATCAGACTATAAACAACACATGTGACATGATGTCATATCTATGCCAAAACTATACTGCACTCAAACAGCCAGGTTCAATATTACTGTGCTTTCTTTTTCTACTTACAAAGACCATGCTGTACATAAACTGTGTATAGTCATAGGAATATTATTACAATTATAATCCATTAATTTTCACACTGTCTTGACTATCAAGGCCTATTTAAGAATCCATCCAAGCATAAGCATTGCAGCTTTAACTCGATGCACCACTGAACTCTGTTTTGTAAGGGGTGGGGGACAGTGATGGCGCCAGGACCTGCCCGACGAAGGGGCTAAAGGCCCCAACGCGGGGGGGGGGAGATAGTGGAGCGAATCGAGTCTCACTTGGGTGGGGCCAGGGGGCCGCCTAGGGCCCCCCCCGGTAGTAATAATAATATAACAAAAGCAATACACGATACTTATACTATATAATATTTATGTATAGGCCTAGCAAATATAACGGTATAAATAACGATTAAAAAAAAACATACCTAAGAGGTAAATAAAGTAAATAATTAATTTAAAAGACAATTACGTTTTATTTTCTATGGTACAACACAGCGATTAATTAAATCGATGATGATGAATTTTACTAAGAGTGTCATATCCGGGCAATCTAGAGGTAGCATTTCCCCAAATTTTACCACCTCAGCCCCAACTTTGGTGGGCAGTGGTGGCGGCAGGGCCTGCCCGACGGAGGGGCTAAAGGCCCCGACGGGGGGGGGGGCTAGTGGAGCGAATCGAGTCTCACTTGGCTGGGGACAGGGGCCGCCTAGGGCCCCCGGTGGGAGTCCAGGGGACGAAGGCCTCTGGAACCCACGGATATTTGATGAATTATGGCGACTTTTTATTACTTATTTGATAGGCATCGAGTTACTATAATATGACTTCATGTAGGCTATGCTTTCTAATGTTGGAATCAGCATTTGGAAACATTTTGAATGAAACAAGAAACAAAGAGTACGCAATGTAACCATCTAATTAAGCTAAGTGAAATTCTATATTTTGGAAATTTTGCATGAAATCTGTCAACCACGCTTCATGATCGAGGTTGCTTCACCTATCACGATGTATTCCAACCATCATGAGGCTATCTAAATGAGCATTTGTCATATCAGAACGCAAATTATTTTTAATTAGTCTCATTGAATAATAATAATAATAATAATAATAATAATAATAATAATTATTATTATTATTATTATTATTATTATTATTATTATTATTATTATTATTATTATTATTATTATTATTATTATTATTATTATTATTATTATTATTGTTATTGTTGTTGTTGTTTGTGCCCCGACAAAATTTATCGTCTTCCTTGCATGATGGTGTCCCACATTGGACAATTCTGGCAACAATTTTATTCCTCTGTGAGATCAATGGGCTGATGACAGACAGTGAGAGATAAAATATTCATGTCTGGAACTATGTGGATGACCTGACACTTGGTCACAGTAGGTATTTATATCAGCCTAGTAACATCCAAAATTCTGATGACTCTCTAAATAAACGGTCAGCAGACAAGAAGCTGAAGTTCAACCGTACCAAGTGTCGGGTCATGAAAGTATATTTTGACCGAAATGAACTCCCAGAGATGAATATTTTCATATTTGATTACATTCTTAGGCCCGTATCCAGGGGGTGGGGGTGCGTTGGGTGCGTACGCACCCCCCCCCCCCCCCCCCCGAAAAAAACCCCCCAATAAAAATTGTTCCCAGAATCATTATAAAATGAATCACATAACAGTACATTATTAAGATTGTATGAATGTACAAATGAGTTACAATAAGAATACTAGAGCGCTGACTCCACACGCGCAATCTTTTGTACTGCCAGCAACATAACACAACAAACATACACACGTTATAATGAACGTTATCGTCTAAGTGTATCTTCCCCTAACTACCAGCCGGTATGTCAGTGTATAGCAATGAAGTCAAAATGCTAGAATGACACCCCGGTTTAGACAAGTATCCTAGCGCTCTCAGAAATACCCTGAGACGAGTATACTCGACGCTGGAGCGCGCACGTGTTAAAAAATGGGGGGAAAGGAGCAGGAAATTAAAAAGCGAAAAGCTGTTGCAAAATCTTGCCAAACATTGGATGGCTGGGTCAACAAAAAATACCGTGAAGATAGGAATGAATGCCTACCACCCGATTTAGAAGAACAGTATGCGAACCAAAAGAAAGATGAAAACCCAGACCACGGTTGTCCTGAAGGTATAAATTGATTTTAATATGTTGTCCTTCGACTTTGTCAACCCACGAACTATAGATATAGAAATAGGCCTAATATTAAAGATAATTATTTAGCCAGTTGAAAATCATTTACAAAATAAAAGAAATGGGGAAATCTGGACAGATTTTCGAATTTTGTCCAGGCTCAACGTTCGTATATTTTTTGTGCCGATTTCAGGCTCAAAGTATTCATATTTTGTTCTTATTTTAACACACTTTTTAAACATACAACATTATTATTCTACAGCAGTGTATTACTGACTGTATTATAGTACTGTACTGTAAGTGTACACCAACTGCAAATAAGGTACTGGTAAGGTTTGTTGGTTTTTCTACTACTAAAAAATAAAAACCTCACTTGTTGCATTTTAACTTAGCCTTAATTTATTCTTATTTTGTTCTTAATTTTTCCGCAATTTCGACAGCCTCATTCTTCTTATAAAATGTGCTCTTATAAAAAATGTATGTGATGTTGCTATTAAAACGTACAACGTTACTCGTATCATGATGATCCTTTTATACAGTATACCCCGTCACGGGTTCAATGGATAGATATCGTATACATACAGTATAATTATGCTTATACCTCTGTATATGTTTCCTGTCGATGCCAAGAATAAAAATGTTGATTATTTTTTTCAAATGCTTCTAGTTGTTTGAATAAGCTCATTTACAGTCGCTTTTAATCCACTCTTTATATCAAACTTTGCTATTATTCATTTAAAAGCAGAATTGATTTTGAATTTTTATTCGTAATGGTTACGAATTTATACAGTAGTATTTTTCATTTTTTTTCATTTGGGAAACAATTTGCTTGTTTCTCCATGTCCTCCACTGGTAATTTTTTGATAGGCCCTATCGCTGTGTTCACGGACATATAGAGATTAACATGATAAAATGCCTTCAAATTAGTCTACTAGGACGTAAGAAAGCCAATTTTTCAGACCGGGGGCCGTGGGCGGCCCCCTGGCCCCCAGCCTGGTTGCTCGCTGCGCTCGCAAAACGCACCCCCACCCCCATTCAAAAAGCTGGATACGGGCCTGATTCTCACCACTGTCGATAGTGGTGGTGGTATTGGAGCTGTCTATAAAACACATTTGAATCTTCATCTCAGGAATGACACTTAGAGCCGGAGCCCAGGGGTGTCAGCATAGCTGGAAATTAACCAATCTTTGTGTGTAGTAATGGTCTATGTGCCCGTAGGAAAATGGGCATCTGCCGGTCCCATTGTGGAGGGTGTGGTCAAGAGGGGCATAAAAAGGGTCCCAAAAATTGAGCTAGATCAACTTGTGAATTAATCCAATGAAACAATAATTTAAAAAAAACTTTAAAAAAAATTTAACTTTAGGATTTTAATATATTCAAAAAAAAACTGTACTCGCCCTTAGGCAGGCCCCTGGACCCCACGCCCAGAGACCCCCCCCCCCCCCCTTGAAATGACCTGGCTACGGGCCTGGTTGACATAGACATAAAATACTCTTTATTTAATCCATTGCTGTACTTTTATCTCGAAAATTTTTCATTATACAGTTTAATTCTAAATTTAAAAGTCTGAGGGTAATGGTTCGTGTTGGCGGCCGGTATCCAAAGTCTACCACTACGTTCTAGCAGGGTTTTTGGTCATGATTCCCATTTATTTGGATTTTAATAAGATTTTTGATTGGCTTCCCGCCTGAATTTAAGGAATTCTCAGAATATGATTTTATCTTACTATAACAGTATCTAAAAAATAATAAACACTTTTGTGTAACCTTTGAAAATGCAGGTTGCGGACGCATTGAATTGGTTTGGCAAGCATACAGTATATAGCATTCAAGGTTTTTTTTTTTTTTTTTAAGTTCATGCAGGCACAAACTTTAATCTGATACTTTTGCAAATGTTCTTGTATAGCCAGAAAAGTGTTTTTTTCTTCTGATATAATGCTTGCTGCCAACTAAAAAATTGCTTTTTCCCCTTAAATTCAGCAAAATAGATGACTAAAGTTTATTTAACTTTGGCTGTAATCCATACATTTGATAGAAACTGAAATAAATGCTACAAAACAATGGATAAGAAGTTTCTGTTGGGTTCAAAACATTGAATATTTGCTAGAAAACTTCATTCCGATCGAAATACGATCACGCATGGTCAATTCGGTCAAAAATTTAGGAGCAAAAAGGCGGGTCTTTTAATTAAAAAGGTCTTTAATAAAGAGAGGCATGTACAGTGACTGTTAATTCAGTTTATGTGAGACTTTAATAGCTTTTTTTTTTTTAGAGATCGTCACACGAGGGTGAAAAATGATACGAATAAAATAAAAATATTGTTCTCTTTGTATCAAAATTATTTTGACAAAATCATCTAGGCAGAGGAGAAAATATTAAAAATAGAATTTTATTGATGATTGTATTGTGAACAGTGTAATAATGAGATTAATAAATGATTTAAATTTATACATTAATAAAGAAAAAAAATTATTGTTATCATATTTTTGGAGATTTCATTTCAAGCAAATGACATAATAAAAATAAATAAGACATTTTTTTTTTCTGAAATTTCTATTTTTTATGGCTAAGGAAGTGCTAAAATGTTTTTTTTTTTTTTGTTCACAATTATTATTGGCGGTTCAAGGGTTGCTTTTTTTTTTAATTAAAAAGTCTTGCCATAACAAATTAGCACTATAGTATACAAATAATCCATGAATTAAAACTGCGTGGGTGCAGTACTTTATTTTATTTTTATTTTATACCCAGCAAAGTACAAGTTGCTGGTAGGTACTAACTACGGTACTGTATATGGGGAAAAAGATAATGGTATCTTTAACACAGAAGTTTCTATTTTAGGTCAAGTACAGATTGTTGGCAGTAAAAATAACTGCAAGCTGATTTGGTAGTAATAAGCAGGGATTAAAATAATCCTAATGAAAAGTACAGATACCACAAATAATACTATACAATTAGGGTATGTTCACACACACCCTCTAACGGTTATCAGGATAAAATAACATACACGCTCACCATTGCATTCACTGGCCTATTTAGGAAGTTGGAAAGTGGAAATGTATACGTCTGATTGCTTTAATTTAATGATATAAGGAGATCATCTTGCTGACCAATAGTGCTCGCCAACTGATACTGTATCCACTTCCTGGAAATGGTTGGAGCTAACCGGGCGGTATCACACACATGCTAATGGTTTGGGCTAACGGTTAGCTCCTGATCTGGATATAAAGGCTCTAGTGTGAACGTAACCTTAGAATTAGATCATAAGCAGTGGCTACACCAGTCATAAAACCTTTCCTAATTCTGATTGGATGTTATTGTATGATATTTTTTTAAGTTTTTTTTTTTTTTTTTTTTTTATGATATGAAGCGCATAGAAGTTTTTTCATGCATTATACAAGTGTAGCATTTAAAAATCTCCAGAGTTAGTGAAATACAGATTTTTGAATAATTAAAAACTGGGGAAAAGTTGTGTCTTTACAAAAATCAGTTGTAATACAGCATGAAATAAAAATGTTTCCTCCCTAGCCTGGCATTACAACCGGTGTAATAACAGCCACTGTCTATAATATCTTGTTGACTAGACCTACAATTTGGTATCATAGGCCTACAGTATTTTTTTTTGGGGGGGGGGGGGGGGGAGTAATATTAGGAATTTATATAAAAGGTGTCTTTTGCCAAGGTACTACAGTACTGTATGTACTGTTAATGGTACTACAGTACATCGGCCATTCGATCCAATATACTGTATTGCCGCTGATGGACTAATAAAGTTACCACAAATTTTGCAGATACCCATTTTTACTGTCGAGAGACAAATGTACTGTAGGTAAAGTGCCTTGCACAAGGACACATGCGAAATGCACAGTGAATCAAACCATTGACCTCAAAGTTGAGAAATTGAACATCAACCACTGTGCCAGCCGCCCGCACGAAAAATTCCCATAAAATTGAAAGTAATAAAACTACAGGGCATCTGTATTATTCTGGCTGTAGGTCTATTGAATAAATTTTCTTGTGTGAATATTAAATACAATGCTATTTAGATAGTAACTTAGGTTTTGCCTGCGAACCTCATCGACACCATGTGCACCAAAGCTAGACCATGTGGCCCAAGCCTTGCTTCTTTTGCATTTATCTCACCACCTCCAGTCACTACAAATCACCCTGGCCCATATACTATATTTTGTCATGAGATTATGGTATTCTAATTAAAGAGGACTGTAGGGAGTGGATGTGCTTTTACATATACTGTGTTGACAAAAATTGGTCACTTGTAGGGATTTGAACCCAGGACCATGAGATTGGAATCTGTTTTTCCTATTTAAAGTAAGGTAGTTTGATGACACATAGTATACTGAATGTTGTTACTGTGGTGTTGTTTTGGCAAACTCAGTATCATGTTGATCACCAGAAAAACTCGCATTATATTATGTTTTATGAATATCTGTTGGGTACAAGATCAGGAATGTACTGTACATACACTGTTGCAGGGGAAACAGTTGTTACAAATTTTACTTTAAATTGTGACTGGCTAATTATTTATTAATCAGTTGAAAATTAAAAACAAGGCCATGTGGTTGAATGGAAATTAAGCTTATATGTAGTACTGTAGTTCCTACGGTATAATCTTGCCCCTACTGCGACCTCCCTGCACCAAATGTTGGAGTGAACTTATAACCAGGTACAGCTCAGCATTTTGCTTGAAAGTGCAGTACTCAAAATCTCTGGGAGAGGCTGAAGCAGCTGCTGCGTGACAGTGCTGTAAATCCACATATTAGGTAGCTTTCAATTTACTCGACGATACGATTCTAGAACAGATTCACTCATGCGTGACCGTCCTACGTTCTGTGCACAACATAGATTCGGTCAAATTGCGTCTTAGAATCAGCGAGGCGCATTTAACGTTCTCGCATGTGCAGTTGACTTCATGTGACATCATTACGTTCTATGTCCTACCGTTGTCATGCAATCAAAAGCGACCAAATGTTTTTTGCAGAGTCTAAATTTTTCATGTTTTTTTTCCCTATATTTGGCAGCAATTTAAAATCTCTGTCCGCACTAACATTTTATGTGACAAGTTTGTGTGAGATGTGCCCATATATGGGCATGGTGACGTGACATTACACCCAAATATAATGGCAAGCACATCACATTTTTTTGTCACAAAATTTGATAGTGTAGACAGCTAACTTTAGAAATATTCTGAAATTTTTATACATGGCACTACAGCAATCATATACTGTACTATTTATTCATATTATTTTTGCTTTTAATAAAAAAAATAATTAAAAAATGAATATAATGAAAGGCAATACAGACAAATACAATATTTTATTTTTATTTTTTTTTATTCATAGGAAATATAGAGAACTTTGAAGGCTCTTTTGACAATACCATAACAGACCCTGGAAAAATAGCTCTTGCAATTTATGGTGGTCTCTTCGCCTATGGAGGATGGTAAGTAGAAACTTCAAATAATTTTATGCTTTCAAATAAACAATGTCTTCATTTACCATACTACAATAGGCCTACCAATGATTCGCAATGCTTGTCATAACAATACATGGGTTTAACTGTAAATGGGACTCAACCAATATGGTACTGAACTGTCCAGATGTTTGAATGCCTAGTCAAAAAGAAATTTCGGTTAATAGCGAACCACTTGAATTGAGGTACTGTAATAAGTTAATTCTTATTTATACTACAAGACCACTAGTCTACACTTACAATTATTTAACAATAATAACACAATTTCAGAGACAAGATTACTATTAGTAATCTTTGTATTGTGTTGAGCCGGGAACAAACTGCGGCCGATGGTAGTTTACAGCGCGATTCCATATAGAACCCTACACGAGAACTCGTGCATGTTTTTAATGGTGATACACTCAGGCAGCCACTGACAATTAGCAGACAGCGTTGCGTCGTTGAAGTGTCACAGAGAGCAGAGATAGATTTGTCAGTCGACGGTCATACAACTACCATACAACCCATTCTGAGCCCAGCTGTAGGCAAAGTGTACTTTGTTGGATTTTTGTAAATTGCTGTGAAAGTTAAACAGTGCGGTGCTGGGTAGGGGGAGATTTTTCCTTCATTTACAAGCAATCAAGGAAACTTATTCATCTTATTGCAGGAGTAATTTTGTGGCAGAATGGAACATGTATTAAATCAGTACAGTTTGTTTGACATCAACTGTATAATTATCTACATATCAGCATTTAAAAGTCAGAATATAAAGAAAAGTCATTAATACATACTATCAACTTTAAATAAATCCACCAAAATAATGATAAGAAAAATGTTTACCAACTTGCATACTACAATTTTTTGGGATTCCCATGAGGTCAAATTTAGGTCTAGATACAAACATAATTACAGTTTGTTTATTTTTTGTTAATTACATTTATTTTTAATATTTGAAATAATTATAAAACAAATTCTGATATAAAGTTAATACAAAGGGCAGAGCTTTTCTAAAATTATTGCAATATGATGAAATGTGTTACAATAATCATTCTTTTTGAAACAGATTTGAGCTTAGAAGTAGGAGCGTTATTGTGATTAAATTTCACTTGTGAAACTTTCATAAATTTGGACCGCTTGCAAAATTACAAAAGTTTTTTTTTGCTAAAATTTTTGGTTTTGTTGTTTGTACACAAGCTGCAGCATTGCAAATTATCTCTCATTGTTATAATAATTTTGGCAATGGTATACAGAAAATAACTTTTTTTATTTTGGATATAAAAGGTAGAGCTTAGATTTACTGTATCTATTAAATATGTTTTTAGTCACAAGTTCATCTAATTTTGTTTTTGTGATGGTAGATATCACTGAAGGCTATTCCATGGTTATCATTTCCATGGCTTAGAATACTTCCTTTCATTTAATGTCATTTTTAAGTCAAAACCTAGAGTGATTATCATTTAAGAAAAAAGCTCTATGGCGAAGGTGAAAAAAAAAAATAAAGTTTACAGCGTAATACTGATTTGTTACTCTGCACCTACGCACCAAGTGATCGTTACAGCTAAGCGCCTCCACCTCTACTGTAGGAACATTCCATAATTAGTGTAGTTTTTTGAATTGATGTGTTAAAACTTAATTATTTCAGATTTAAAAATCAAAATATAAAATGAAAACCTCAGCATATATTTAATTTAATTTGTTGTATATTATATGTTGCAACTATACCAGGAACCCATTTGTACTCCTGCGTGGAGAGAAGTAATACAGTTAAAGTGTTGAAGTATACTCAAGACACACCAAGGGATTTAAACCCCCAACCTCGAGGTTGGGAAAACCAAACCGTCCCCATTGCGCCAAACTGCTTCTACAGTTCATATTAGTTATCCTATATATACTGCCATCCTGCAAAAAAAAAAAAAAGATTAGGAAGCTTCTGATTTGTGTGACGACGCAACTCTAGAAATCACTCATGTGTGACCATTCTACCTGGCATGCTACGTTCTCTGCATACGTAGATTTGGCCAAATTGCGTTCCAGAATCTACTCGACGAGGTGATCTAACGTTCTCGTATGCGCAGATGACTTTTAGCGACGTCATTACGTTCTACGTCCTACCGTCGTCGTGGAATTGAGAGCTTCCTAATTTGAAGTTAAGTTAGAAAGTTACTCACAGTTGAAAGGTTAACGTAAATTAGGGAGGCACTGAGCTGCATCAACAGCTTGGGTAGCATTGATTTGTAAGCAGTGTCATGTATTGTGACATCAGCGATGTGGATTTGCCTTTTATGATTTGTTGATTTAGATTCAGATAACTTTATTGTCATAACAGGAAAAAAAAAATTGCTGGCAGCAATTTTATTTTAATAATAATAATAATAATAATGCCGAAGATTTATTTAGCGCCAATTCCAAATCAATGATCAAAGGCACAGAGCATTTTTACCCCTGGTCACTAAATATGATGCCGTACAACAGCAAATGGTTATAAAAAGACGTACAAAAATGGAAGACAAATAAAAATTACAAGAATTAAATTAAACTTCCCATTCTCCTTAGAAAGACAAATAAAAATTACAAGAATTAGATTAAACTTCACGTTCTTCTTCTAATATATCGAGTCAATTACAAGACTTCTCAAGTTAGTAAAATGCATTTATGTCTCGAAATCTGTAGTAATTACAAAATTTCTGTAGCACCTAATAATTTGTCTTGGGTGCAAATATGGGTTTCTTATTAAAATCAAAGGAACAGTATAGTAACACCTGTGGAATTTCAAAGAACAGGACAGGATGAAGATTTACAGGTCACTTTTTCTTAGTTTTCACAATAATTTGTTAGTACTGTTCTGGTTAGAATGAATTGTCCAGGGACAATGTGCTGTAACCAAAAATCCTTGTGGAAAAGTCCTATTTTTATGGGTCTGTCTAAATAATTTCCATGGTATTTTGTCTATTTCTGTATGTCCGTCATTAGGCAAAATTTCCGTAGGAACTACAGAAGTTCCGTAGTACCTGGTAAGTCTACCATAGACAGATTAATGTGTCTGTGCAGCTGTCGGTTTAGTTCTAAGGACTTGAAGATACAATTTTAGGAATAGGATTGCGACATACTAAACAATACTTTCTTGACTCCATTATACTAAAATTAGAAATGAATTATTTGAATTTTTTTGCTATAACAGTCTTTAAATTGACTACCAGCCAGTTTAAATGTCAATAATATGCATGCAGTATATTGTGGTGAAAATTATTAAAAGCTACGAAATAACGAATTTTAATGTTAAAGTTTATGAGTTCAATCTTTATGCAGCCAACTGTTATACAATTTGAGCTTTATTCCTGTAATTAATTATGAGGTCTTCAATTTAAAACACTTTACGAACATCACTCAGTCATATCAAATTTACACTTACTTCTACTAGGCTTCCTTCATACAATGAAAGTAAACAAAGCAGAAGTTGTAAAATACACAAGATTACGTGATGTTTACTGTATAATACTTACAATGTGGCATCGTGACTTGGCATCAATCGCTGCTAATGCCTGCATATCCTGAAAACCTAAACAAAAAGTAATAAACTGCATCTAAAGCACTTGATGATGGTACAGTATACATTTTTTTCGTTGCACAGTATCATATTGTAGGATCCCATAAAAAATTACACATTTTTTTTGTTTCCACGAATCCATTATTTAGTTATAAAGTTGACTTCTTTTTGTGAAATACATGAAAATTCACAACAAACCTCCGAAAACAGAGCAAACCCTCCAAAAACCAAACTTACACCATGTGTTAATGATTGTATCGTATATTGTACTATAGGATTAACAGTACTGTAGATATCCCCAAAAAATTTAAAGCAATGAATAATTATGAGAATCTATTTTTTTGCTGATAAGAAGTTGTTATTTAGTTGATAAAATTAGGTTCTTGTAATTTATAAGTAGTTTAATTTTTGTCATGAATTGCGGTATGACAATTGATATATAGTACTGTACCAAATTAGTGTTTTGGATAGGCATTGCAGTGTTTTTGTAAATTTTGTAGGGTTTGCAATATTACAACTGCCAAATCTCGTGCATAATGTATGAGTCCCACACTTGGGCATTAACAGTTTACGGCTCGTGCCTACGCTATCTGTAGGCTACAGTATTATCTCATGCACCATAAAAATATAATATACTGTAGGCATGATTATACCAAACAATTCATAAAAATGAAGTGAATTAATAATTAAAATGTAAATATTTGTGCATATAATTTTTTTTTTTTTATGAAGCTATAACAATCAAGGACTGTTATCCATAACATAGAGGGCGCTTTATTTCACGATTATTACATAGAGGATACTGTATAATGAATAAAATATGGTGCTTTATACTCTTTGTTTTGCGCATCTCACACGAAGTTGCCAGGTACAGTATAAAATATCCACAATGATTTACAGGGATGTTAAGTACTTCACGTATTGATCTCTTTCAATATATTATAAAATTTATTAACTAAATGCAGGTTACACTGCGAAAATTGAATACTTGTATCACATTACTCATTCAGATGCTTAATAATAGTATTTTTTCTCATCTAATGACTTGCATAAACACAGGTATACCGGATAGAAAATATAAATTACAAATACCGGTACATTTTTTTTAGTCATAGTAAAACAATAATAATAATGATGGATTGGAGAAATTTTCTTTTTGTTAGAAATGGTACTATTTATGACAGGTGATATTTCGGTAACCATCAATCCACCTTCTTCAGACATTCCATCTGAAGAAGGTGGATAGAAATTCCAATCTGGCATCACCAAAATGTCAAAATTAAGTGAAAAAAAATTCTCATACTCTATTTAACAGAAAAAAAAAAGATGATTGTTTCTGAAAGTCTTGTAATTGCTGCGAAGCAGCCAATTCATATTCTTGACAGCAATTTGACCGCTGAAAGGTCATTGTTTGTCAAAAAAAAGGGCCTAAGACAACTGAAAAGCGGAGTTTCCTACCTACACGTACATACGTCCGCATGTCGCGCTAGCCTTATCCTACTCTAGGCCTAGACTAGCTAGGATGGTGCAGTCCTAGCCTTGAAGGGACGAAGGTCCCAGTGAAAAACAACGTTGCTCCTTGATAGCTAACATTGTTTATTTAACCTCACAATAATTCATTATTAGACCTATAGAATTTTTAATTTTACTCCACAAATCTCAGCCGATATCTCGCACAATTCGTTAACGTCTCGTGTCTATTGCTGTGACGTCATGGCTCGCTGACTCACACTTGTGATGTCTTGCACTTGTGATCAAATAACACGCTGACTCGCACTTTGGCAACACTCTTTGGCAGTCAAATCGCCCCTAGAAAACCCGCCCTTGGAAACTTGCACCATATAAAAATATACACTTCCTAGACCATGCAGTCTTCAAAATAAAAATTGTAACCTTTGGTAATCAACTACATTTTCCACATACATAGAAATTTTTGAAACTTTATTAAAAAAAACCTAAACCATAATTCACCACTATAGACACTTCTTGACAAAAATGAAAAATTATGACTTTGTTAATACCCAATGAGAAGTGTTCCAATATAGACAATGGGTCGTGTCTCATATTATTTGTTATATTTTTATTATTCATTATTTTCACTTGACTCGCATAAATAATTTTGTTTGAAGAACATTTATATGCAGTTGTACTTCGCAGCACTTCACTTGCAATTTGCAATTTCTAGTAAT